ATGTAAAAGTCTCTTTAAGACTTAATCCATCTTCACTCCAACCCAGCAAAACATATTTAGTCTCTGGAATATAATTGTTTCCCTCTAACTGTAAATATTTAAGGCAACACATATTAATAGATCTTAACATTATCAGACATGTTGTTAAAATTTCCCCATTGATACATTTCCCAGGCATTGCTTTTTCCTACTGTTTCCTCAAGTTATTAAGCTCTTTTCCTTCCCTTTTACTAGTTTGAGGTTTCTCTATTATACAATAAATTCTATTGTACTGTCTACATAGTTTTTTTAATCCAAATGTATTTCATATGCTCTGCAAGCTTCCTTAGTTACAGCACTCTAAAGATTTTCTAAGTCAATTATCAGTTTAAAAGTCAAAATAGATATGAGGAAATATCTAATCAACCAATGGGAAAGTCTGCTAATGGCATATATTTTAATAAATAAAAACACCTAGAATATCAAAAACATCCTACCACTCTGTAAACAAATGACACTGCACAGGAGAAATATTGTATACCCTACATACACATCCTGGCAATGGACAAACTGCTTCAGTTACAGAAGAACAATACACTAACATAACACTGATATGTTCACTATAATTTTCATGTGGAATATTTAATAAAGTCAGTTGTTCACTGTTGTAAATTTTTTGCTACATTAATATTTATTATCTAAAAAATTTGCCAATGCAATGAATTTTAAATGATAGGCAGAAATGTACATCTCCGAGGTAACATGTTGGATACCAACCTAAAAAAAATTAAAGGGCCCATCACAAATCTTACAAAAAACTAACATGAGACACATGTTGTCTACTTGTTGCATAGTACATCAATTTTGTTTATATCTATAAAGTATTATTAATACAAGAAATAAAGATAAAAATGTTTTCCTGAATTTCCTAAACTGACAGATTTTAGTACTGTAAAATATGTTAATACACACTGTAAACTAAAACAAGACAGAAGGACTCGGTATTTAGAGAGTATAATGCTAAGCTAAATAAGTCAGTAAAGACAGATACGAAATAATTTCACGCACATGTGGAATTTAAGAAACAAAACAAATGAGCAAAGGAAAAACACAGAGACAGAGAGGGAGACAGAAACCAAGAAACAGACTTTCAACTATAGAGCACAAACTGATGATTACCAGAGGGAGGTGGGTGGGGGGATGGTCAAATAGGTGATGGGGATTAAGGAATGCACTTGTCATCATGAGTAATGGATGATGTATGGAATTGTTAAATCGTTATATTGTACACTTGAAACTAATATAACACTGTGTTAACTACACTGGAATTAAAATAAAAACTTAAGTAAAAAAGAAGGGCTTAGTATTTGAAAAAAATAGAAATATATATACATCGAGATTTCTTTTTTTAATAAAAAATTTTTTTAACATTTATTCATTTTTGAGAGACAGAGTGTGAACACGAGAGGGGCAGAGAGAGAGGGAGACACAGAATTCAAAGCAGGCTCCAGGCTCTGAGCTGTCAGCACAGAACCCGACGCGGGGCTCCAACCCACAAACCGTGAGATCATGACCTGAGCTGAAGTTAGACACAACTGATTGAAACACCCAGGCGCCCCTAAACGAGATTCTTTATGACTCAGGCACACAGTTAAAATTATTATGAAATTAAGGGGCGCCTGGGTGGCGCAGTCGGTTAAGCGTCCGACTTCAGCCAGGTCACGATCTCGCGGTCCGTGAGTTCGAGCCCCGCATCAGGCTCTGGGCTGATGGCTCAGAGCCTGGAGCCTGTTTCCGATTCTGTGTCTCCCTCTCTCTCTGCCCCTCCCCCGTTCATGCTCTGTCTCTCTCTGTCCCAAAAATAAATAAACGTTGAAAAAAAAATTATTATGAAATTGTACTCTTTTCAAAGGATTTTTGTTTTATAAAATCAAGCAGTAAATATTTTATTTCTAGAATTCTGTAGTTGGTATTACGGCATTCAGCGAACACTATGACAAGCATTCTGTTCTAAAGAATCAAGATTGGATCGATATGCAATTGGATAGGAAGAAGTCAATAATAAAATGCCTGGGTGAATTACAAATACTCCAGCTTTCTAGAAGTTATTTTATTCATGTTCTTATACATCATACTTTCTTTATATATAAGGAAATATCTAGTACACAAAAATTATTAGCAGGCAATGGACTACCTATAACTTGAAATATCAACATTGATGGAAAAAGATTGTGCAGGTAGACAAATGGGATGGCACAGTATTCCTGCATGTATGAACAGTCTATCTTTGTTACTGTCACTCATATAAGTTTAAAAATTCAGTGGCAAGGGATATTTTCCTCTGTTACTAGCTATATTCCTCCTTTTAAATAATTTTCCAACTTCCAGATCCATTTCTTTCAAGTCTCCTCAAAATGTGTTTCTCAAACAGTACCTGACTGCCAAACATTCAGATTCCCAAACTTCAGTATTCTCATCTCTATTTGTTATAGAAAGCAGTGAAATAAAATAAATGATGCATTTTCTTGATAGGAAGAGAGTTTATACATTGTTTTGATACCTGAAATATTAACATTACAATGCACCAATTTTCTGTCTTAAAATTAACTACATTTTCATTTGTATTTGCTGCAACTTTCACAGTATAAACATGTGTGTCCCTACTAATCACTTTGTCATCTATAGGAACTGTGATGATATTTAGTGTCAGACACAGTATTGAGGTTTTTCTAGGACCAGAAAATCCCACTGTTAATGTTGTTTCACTACTATATATGAGGAAGAAAATAATCATTGAAATAATATATTTGAAAGAGATCTTTAAACTGCTAAATATATATACACATAAAGTGGAAAAGTAAGTTAAATCTTTGTTGAACTCTTCCATCTACATTAACACCCAATTCATCCATTCACAAATGTATTTATTCTTTCATTCAGCAAGCACTTATGCCATGTGAAACATAAAATATGCAAAATTATAATGCATATAAATCTATTTTATTTTCAGTTAACATCATCATTTGAAGGAGAATAACTAACTTATAACTTACTTTTCCCCTATTACCTGGAATCATAAAACAAGGAATCCTCCATTCCCTTCCCTAATTTCTGCATACCTCCTTCCCTTTTATCAATGATCTCTATGAAAAATCAGAAAGTAATACTGTAAAATTGATGAAGACTGTCCTCAGTCTATTTGATAAGTTTTTGAAATGCAAAGGGCCACTATGGATAAATTTAAGTATTTGAATAATTTAGCTTTTATTAAATGCATTACTTTCAAATATAGCATTTACTTATTTTATTTATTTTTTATTTTTTTTTAATTTTTTTTTCAACGTTTATTTATTTTTGGGATAGAGAGAGACAGAGCATGAACGGGGGAGGGGCAGAGAGAGAGGGAGACACAGAATTGGAAACAGGCTCCAGGCTCTGAGCCATCAGCCCAGAGCCCGACGCGGGGCTCGAACTCACGGACCGCGAGATCGTGACCTAGCTGAAGTCAGACGCTTAACCGACTGCGCCACCCAGGCTCCCCAGCATTTACTTATTTTAAAGTATATTGGCTTCTTGCTTCCGATTCTGTCTCCCTCTCTCTCTGCCCCTCCCCCATTCATGCTCTGTCTCTCTCTGTCTCAAAAATAAATAAACATTAAAAAAATTTAAAAAAAAATAAAGTATATTGGCTTCTAAAATAATAAGAAAATTAAATCCAAGTTGAATGGACTTTGAATGGCAAGTGCACCTTGAATACACAAATGTTTCTGACACAATTATTCCTCTTTCAAACAATAAGTAATGAATGGCATTGTTGAATCACTATATTGTACATCTAAAATGAATATGACACTGTATATTAATTACACTGGAATTAAAATTTTAAAAACAATTACTACTCTTTCTTCTTTGTGAAATATATCAATAAAATGTAAAATAAAAGGTTGTCAAGTCCTATACCCAATGGTTTTATTTTCTATCAGTACAAACAGGTATTCTGAGACATGCTTATAATTTCCATATACTTAGAAACACTGTGTGGAGCTATCATTAGCTATGTTTCAGAGTGCCATTCTCAAAAAAGACTACTATGCAAAAATGGCATTTATTTAAAAAGTATGACCTAGAAAAATATGTTGCCATTTTATTAAATGGTGTATCATTCAGGATCTAATTCAAATGCCATCTCTACCACAATTCCTCTTCTGATTTCCTCCTCCTCCCTTCCCAGATGTTCTCTCACAGTCTCTCTCTCCCTTTGAACATCCATTGCAATTTATTTTTACATTTTTTAGGTTATCATTGTCAAATCATGTATTGTAATGGTTTGGGCAAATGCCTCATCTTCCATGATACTATGCTTATGTAATGTAAAGACTCTTGCATATTTTTCATTCCCATTTTTGGTATCAGAATGCCTTACCCATATCTGGGATACCTGGGTGGCTCAGTCCATTAAGGGTCTGACTCTTGATCTTGGCTCAAGTCATGATCTCATGGTTTGTGAGATTGAGCCTCACGTCAGGCTTTCTGCGGACAGCACCAAGCTTGCTTGGGATTCTCTCTCTCCCTCTGCCTCTCTCTCTCAAAATAAATAAATAAACTTTTTAAAAAAATGCCTTACACATCTGTTGCTCAAAATGTTTTTTTTTTAATGAAGGGGTTTATGCTTTAAATAATTCCTTGAATAAATTCATAAAAGGAATTAAAGACATCCCCAGTCATTTATTTCCTGTACCAGAAACTTTAGTGCTTTATTTCTAATTTTAGTCCTGTATACTAGATTACTTTTATTGTTCTTTAATAGGCTTAAATTTCTTACCCTTGTTTCTCAGAAATAAACTATAAACTCCTTGAGGCCAAGGACAGTCTTTTAATACTTTTATACTCCCAGAATTCTTAGCATGGGGGTGCTAAGCAGGAGTGTTCAATTCAATGGATTAAATGTTGCTAAAGGCTCATCTAAGAAGCATTTCAGAACATAGCTAGCAGCCATCTCCTGGGCAAGGGAATCAAATCCCTCAAGATTTGCTTACCATGGCATTGACATTTACGTGATCCCCTTTCCTATTCCGAATGTGAATGCAGGATATTGGCAAATTCAGTCCTACCCCAGTAGCCAGATTTCTCAGGTCAGCAGCACTGTATTCCCCACACAACAGCAAACTGTTATTATCAGAACCAAGTCCTAGAGAGGCCCGATAGAGATAGGTCTGAGAAAGTCTCTCAACTGTAGTGACATCTATCGTGGCTGATGTCATACAAGGATTTGAAGCCATCTTCCTCCCTTGCCTCAGCTCTTCTGAAGAGCGACAGCAGCTTTGAGAACAACAAGCTGGGCTCTGGTTCACCTTGATGCACACAAAGAAAAGTAAGCACCCCAGAAATAAAAAGGAAATAGAGGCCAGGGCAATTACTAAATACAGGTTCTGGGTGGAAAGGTGGCCTCCTCTTTCCCAGGTATCTTCAAAGTCTGGAAGGACCTGAGGGGCAAAGTTGCTCAACAGTATACCTAATGTGACAGAAGAGGAAAGTGAGGGGTCTCCATGGTCTCGAACCACTACCACCACCCTCTGTTTAACTGCATCAGTGGGAAGAATGAAGCGGGCAGTACGAAGTTCTCCCATATTGGCTGAAATTCTGAAGAGGCTAGAGTCAGAAGCCTGAAAAATATGGTAGGAAAGCCAAGCATTAGAGCCACTGTCTGCATCCTCTGCTACCACTTTTGTGACCAAGTGTCCAGTTCTGGCAGAGCGAGGCACAATTTCCACTGGAACAGAGCCATTTCTGGGCAAAGGAAACAGGATGACTGGAGCATTGTCGTTCCTATCTACCACAAATAAGTTCACAGTCACTGCTGCACTTCTGGGAGGAATGCCACCATCCCGGGCTTCCACTTGGAAGTGAAACCCCCTGAGTTGCTCAAAGTCAAAGGAAATTTTGGCAGTGATAGCCCCACTGGTTGATTCTACTGCCACCAAGCTAGAGGCTGTCTGCCTTTCAGAGATAATATCCAACAGCTCATAGAAGACAAGGCCATTTTCCCCTAGGTCTGGATCCTGGGCAAAAACACGGCCTAAAGAGGCCCCAGGATCATTGTTTTCAGCCACAAAAAGTTCCTGTTGTGGCTGAGAAAAATTTGGTGAATTGTCGTTCACATCAGCAACAGACACAGTCACTGTCCTGCGGGTGCTCAGTGGGGGTGAGCCACCATCTGAGGCAGTAATCAGGACATGGTATTCGCTGACCTGCTCCCGGTCCAGCGGCCCATCAGTCAGCAAGCTGTAGTAGTTGTCAAAAGAAGCCTTCAGCTTAAAAGGGCCTCCACTGGACATGCTACAAAAGACCTTACCATTGGGACCGAGGTCCTCGTCCCTTAGACTGAAGAGAGCAATCACTGTGCCAGGGGCTGCGTCCTCAGAAACTGAACTGGATAGAGTCAGGAGGTTCACCTCAGGGGCATGATCATTCACATCAGTCACTTCCACCAGCAGTTTGACAGTACTAGCTAGACCGAAGGTACCCTCATCCCTCGCCTCAATGTATGCTTCCAACAACGTTTCAGGTAGACCGAGTGAAGCAGCTACCCGCACTTCCCCATTTCTAGGGTGCACGTGAAAGTAGTGTCGCAGCTCCACCAGCGTGCTATTGCTTAAGGAGTACCGGATTTCCCCATTGGAGCCTTCATCCGGGTCCGAGGCCTGAACTCGTAATAACAAAGTCCCGTTCGGGGCAGTCTCTGGTACCTTGGCACGGTATACTGTGCGCTCAAATACAGGCGCATTGTCGTTTGTGTCCACCACTATGATGGTAACTTGTGCTTCTCCGGAGCGCGCGGGCTGCCCTCCATCCTTAGCGGTGAGCAGTAGCTGGTGGGTGGCACGCTGCTCCCGATCCAGCGCTTTCTCTAATACCAACTCCGGGTATTCACTGCCGTCGACTCGCGACCCCATGATCAAGCGAAAGTGCTGGCTGGGGCTCAGGGTGTAGGTCAGGACACCGTTACTTCCCTCGTCCGCATCTAGGGCATTAGGAAGAGTAAAGCGGGCTCCAGGCAACAGGAACTCGGGGATGTGCAGCTGCACGTCGCCGGCAGGGAAGACAGGAGAGTTGTCGTTGATGTCCACGACGTGAACTCTCATCTTGTGTAGCTCCAGCGGGTCCTCCAGCACCAGCTCATAGGTCAAGACGCAGGCAGCTTTAGTCCCGCACAGCCGTTCGCGGTCTGCCGGCTCTCGGACCACCAAGCTACCGCTGGCCAGATCCACCCCGAAGTAGGGCTCGCGGAGGCTGGAAAGTAAGCGAAAGTTCCGCAAGCGTAGAGCGGCCGCTGACAGCCCCAAGTCCGCGGAAACATTACCTACAGCTACGCTCCGCACGGTCTCCTCCAACACTGAGTATTCCAGCTGTCTGGCGGCAGAGCAGCAGGAGACCCACAGACATAGAACCGCCACCCTCCAGCCCACCATCCTCCTCCCTCTTGGCGTCCCCGCTCCACCAGCAGTGACCCAGAACCATGCTCCGGACTCCCGGAGAGCACGAACTGTGGTAAAGAGCAAGAGCCGGCCGCCCGCCGAATCGGACTCGAGGTGCACAGACCGCCGACGTTCTGCCTCTTGAATATACTGGAATTGCCCCGGGCTGACGGGCTGGAAGCTAAACTCTCGGGACTGGAGGCTTGGCAGCCGTCTGGGAAAGCGGAGCTGGTCGGTGCAGAGGAGCGCAGCGCCGCCTAGGGGTGCAGAGACGAGGTAAACTACTCAGGCTAGGGAGGGGCCATCTCCATGCCCTTCGAGCTGGGCTCTCTCCACAAAGTCCCGGCAGCCGGCGGGAGGCGGGGAACAGCGAGGAAGATGCCGTGAGAAATTAACACATCTTCCTTTGAACCCTGTTTCTAAGGAAAACGCCCTAAGAAGGCCTCCGTCTTAACTTCCACAACCTCTGACTGAAGACTGCTCGTAATTGAGGCTGAGCTCGTTTGGGCTTCTCTCTCCACTGTTTCACAGCGGAGCGTCCAGTTCCGGGCGCTCGGACCCACGGAACCCCTCCAGTGCCGGCGAAGAGATCGGAACTCCCAGAGAAATCGCGGGGGGGAGGCGGCGAGAGGTGGAATCGCGACCCTGAATGACCACGCCTTCGAAGCTTAAGGAAACCGGAAGCCCCAAGCTAAGGGCTGAAGCATTACATTCTGGATTCCTAGCCTCTCCACTGAGGGTTAAAGTCTCTGTGCACCTTCTTATATATGGGAAGCCAAGATTTCAACAGAGGCGACCAGTGAGGAACAAATTGGGTAATAGGGTCTTCCCCAAGCTTCCCTCCCACCGCCCATCCCCTGCTCTAGCTTTTCGAGACACCCAGGTGGGCGAGCGCCAGGCTTATGGTTCGTTCCGCTTTTTTGTGGGTCAGCAATTTCCCTTTCCTCAGGAGCCCCTACTTGCTTTACAAGCGGCCCTTGACGCTCTGGATGAGACAGGTTAGAAACCAGTCAGTACAAGCCCCTGAAACTCAGAAAAACTGACACTCCTCCCCAATGGGACGTGTGAAGTGGAAGTGGAAGAAAGTTACTGAGATACTCTCCAGAGTGTAACCAGAAAACTACTGTGTAAATTTATTCTCTGTAAATATTTAGAAAACAGCATTGAGGCAGGGTAGGAACTAACTGCCCATATGTTCTCCAACTTCGTTTTTAAGCCGGTATTCTGAAGGGAAATTGGGACATTGGTCTGTCCTTGTAAAAACACCTCCGAGCTACAAGAAGTTATCTCCAAATTTGGCCTTGCGCCCAACAACCCGCGGCTTTCCCTGAGGGGGAGGCGAACTGAAAAAGAGTGACTTCAATGACTATTAAACACTAAATTCCTTAAACTTCTTTTAATGTAATTGCAACGTCGAAAGCCCCAGGAACCAAAATTTGAAAGACAAAAGCTAGATACTGATCAAGAATTGAAGCTTTCAGGGCACTGTATTTTCTGTTCAGAAAACTGCCTACAAGTGTTGATAATCACTGAAGCTGAAGGCTGGATACATGGGAGCTAATTACACAATTCTCTTTACTGTATGTTTGAATACACTGTTATAATAGTTTTTAAAACTGATGATTAAAATGGGGGTGGGGGAGGTAAGCTGTTCCAGCATTCTGGTTTTAAGGCTGAAAGTGGGATTGGTAAATTCATTATGCCACTAAGAACCAATCACCTCCCCAGAACAATACAAACCCAGCCCTTATCTCTTCCAGGAAAGCAGAGTAAGCGCAACATAAGGCAATTTAAATAGTAAATGCCCTTGACTAATTTGTCTTTCTGAGATAAGGAACCAAGAAAATCATTGACACCAAGTCTTGGATAAAATTAAAGCAGGAAATATGTCAGCCCAGTGAAATGTTTAGGTAGAGACATAAATATAGCCATCACTGGGGATCTTCATTAAGATGTGAAATAACCCATAAAAATTAAATTTATTCACCAAATTTCAGAACCAAAACTAATTATCTACTTCAAATGCCAGAGATTAAAATTTGCATTTCCTCGCTTTCATTTAATGCTGCTAACTGCTTTAGGGTGAAAGATTATACTTTTCACTTTTCCAATAGCAGCTGATGAAATACATCTGGAGAGATATACTCAACTTTTGGAATGCCCCTGATTTTGAGACCTACAATCAAGTTCCCAGTTAGACTGAATTTAGGATTTCTGAGCTCTGTCTAGGAGGACAGTGTGTGGGGGTGTAGATTAGCAAGTGGGGAAAAGGAAAAACTCATACTGAAAATCAACATGGAAAATGCTGACAAAAACTCTTCCCCCTTCACACCCCTCTCACACTTTTGGCTTCCCCTTTCCCCCATTTCTCTGTCCAAACTGCCACTAATGATTATTTTCAAAAGATTTAATTTCTGTAAAGAATAAATGAATAGCGCTCACCTAGTAGGATTTGTCCCAACATCAGCCTCCCTATCTTTAGGCATAACTGGGATTTGTGCGAAAGCATTATTTAGGAGATACTTGGGATATTCGAAAACCCCAAAGATGAGGAAGACACAAGTTCTTCCTTTTGTATAAGATGACTTGTTGAACATTAAATCATAAATTAACAAAATTTCTCCTTAGCAGAAACTTTCAAATATTTCATTTTGCCATTTTATGCCATTTTCCATAGTTTCCCCTAATTCAGGTATTTTCAAGTTTTAATTACGTGCAAGTATAACTTTAAGTGGACTCAATACAAACACAGTCTTGATTTCTGCTTGGATTCTATTGCCAAAACAATTATTATAAAGCTCTCCCAACCAAACTTGGCCTTAAACTAAATAACTTCAAATTTTTATTTAATAAATAAATTTTGAAATAAATTCAAAAGATTTCTAGCCATAATGCATAAGCTCCTATTAGAGATCTTGCAGCCAAATAGGAAAAAAGTAAATTTGACATACACCAAAGAGTATGTCAGCAAAAGTGATGAAGGATAGAAGCAGAAATGCTCACCTTTAGTCCCGAAAGCTGACCTACAGCCTGCATAGTTTTTAAAAATATCTTTATTTGTTTATGAGAGTGAGAACCAGAGTGTGAGCAGGGGAGGAGCAGGGTGAAAGGGAAACACAGAATCCCAAGCAGGCTCCAGGCTTCACGAGCTGTCAGCACAGAGCCTGACACAGGGCTCGAACTCATGAACTGCAAGATCATGACCTGAGCCAAAGTCGGAAGCTTAACCAACTGAGCCACCCAGGTGCCATGCTTGCATAGGTTTAATAAGGATTAAATATGTGCTGGTTGCTACATCCTTAAAGGGTCTCATGACTGCCTGTATATCTCACCCATAGTTAATATCAAACTGAATGATAAACACCAGAGAAATCTTGTGAAAGCAGTTTTATGAGTAGAAATTCAAAGAAATATTTATGATACTTCCTACATGTTCCCTCCACCTTGAGCACTAAGCATATAACTACAAGCTTCATACAGCAGAAAGTGCAGCTTTTTCTGCACATGGGTCCTGTCCTATGCTACTTAAATAAACTCACTATGTTGCACCATATAACATCTCAAGAAATTCTTGGCCATTGTTCTCGACAACCCCACAACAAAAGGATATGTATGATTTTAAACCAGATTTTCTTTTTTAAAGAATTGTTTTAATGTTTACCTTTGAGAGAAAAAGACAAAGCACAAATGGGGGAGGGGGAGAGGGAGAGGGAGAGGGAGAGGGGGAGAGAGAGAGAGAGAGAGAGAGAGAGAGAGAGAGAATGGAAGCAGGCTCCAGGCTCTGAGCTGTCAGCACAGAGCCCGACGCAGGGCTTGAACACTAACTGTGAGATCATGACCTGAGCCAAAGTTGGACACTTAACCAGTAAGCTACCCAGGGTGCCCCTAAACCAGATTTTTTCTTAGTGCTTAAGATTATTCCTTGGGAACATGTTATGTGCTTAAGAAACTAAAAGACAGGACATCAGCAGGATCACATCAAGCACATTTTCATCCTGTAAAGCTTAATGAAGTGTCCAAATCAAGTCTAACAGAGTAGGACTTCTTTGAGAGTAGAGATCTGTATCACTCAAATTTTGTGTCTTAAGTATCTAGCTGGGTTCTGGGCACACAAATTAAGTGGCTAAAGCACTCTCAATATACAACAACCTATGTCATCCTTTTTTCTTTTTTTACTTACATCCTTACCAATAACACATTACTACAGAATTTCTTTCTCAATTTTCTATTGCCAAGGAACCAGTTTTTCACATAATACATCACATAATACCATATAAAGTATCTTGGACCTTTCTTTTGTGAATCCTCACTCTAACTCTATGTTGTGTTTACTTACTACTTTATGATTATGTAATAATTTTCCAAAAATTACCTTTTTCTAAAAATTGTTTTCTATTTCATCTTCAAAGTATAGCCCTCAGAACCTAAAGTCATATTCCAGGTTGGTCATATCTTATCCAAAAAGAGGATATCTGGCCCTTTCAATGCAGGCTGGCTGAGTCCAAGGACCCAGAGGGAGTCCCACAGGACCAGTGAAGAGGGTCGTTGGCTTCTCCCAGAATGGAAATCAATCTTCCTGGATGGAAACGCAAACCGAGAGGAAGGGAGAGCAGAGTTTACTGAAGATAGAGCAGAGTCAGAAAGAGAATCTGGGAGACTCAGAAAGGAAAGGAGAGACAGAGTCTTGTCTTTGCTTGGGGCTTGGGGTTTTCGTTGAGGATGGTGGTCTGGTATATGTGTCCCCTCAGGCATCCAAGAATTGGTCAAAACGATGAGTTTTTAGACGTCCTCCATAAGTCACTGAGGCCCTTGAGTCAGTGGTCTTGGAAAACATTCATGACAACCTCACCTAGTCATTCCTTAGATGTTAATCTGTTGTGCTGGAAGACTCCCAAGAAATCATGAACTCCTTGACCTTTACGAGGAGGACGTACATTAAGGCATGTGTAAGAATAGATCTAGAAAGGGAAACTGAAGGGACCCCATGAAAAAAC